CTTTTTTGAAAAAAATTAGGGATCCTTACTAAAACTCCAATAATGTAATCCAAGGTGTAAAAATATTATTTACATCTCGTGCCCTGCGAAAATTATTGATGTTAAAATAAAATAATGTCTACTTACGCCTTTTTAGAACACATTATTATTTACCAAAAGTCTCACGACAGCATATGTCTAACTATTATAGTTATGCTGCAGTAAGTGTTCTTTTATTTAAAAATAAAACAACGACAAATATCATTGAAAATTTTGTTGACCCGAGCGGAGCCGGAGCGGGTCGCTAGCTACTGATAAAGTCAATTAACTTTGATAATTATTGTACAATTCTTGGAACGACACGTAAAATTATGACTTCGACCTCGTTTCAAGCAAGATCTACAGCGAAATAGTATGACGATGCTTAAGTTCTTTGGTAACTGCTTAATTGTTAGTATAAGGACAATAAAGTACTAATTGAAAAACTCAATAGATACATTCATTTAAACTTCGAAACAAAAATGTTCGAATTGCTTCAACTCGGGAGTTAAATAGCTATCTTGTTTACCACAACTGGATTGTGCATCACGGATCCTTTGAAACATAGCGAAATGCCTTTGATACAAAGCGTTACGCTCACATTAAGCACACAGTACGTTACGTGTTAAAAGAAACATGGGGAAATGCCCCAAGGTACTGACTGGACTAGCCTGCCTCCACAACTGTACAAGTACATAACATTCCGTGTTCATAGATTTGTGTGGAATAGATGTGATTTGAGGTCTGTTTTCGTATCTATATGAAGGTTTCTCTTGAAGTAATAAGACTTAACTTAAAAAAATAATGTTAAGGTGCCAATAAATTATTGCGAAATCACATGACTGGGCGAAACTAATTTTAAGTATTCACAACAAATGTCCCCCTAATTTTATTCATTTTTTGGGCCTGTAATTATTCGATTTTTATATTTATTCCTACTGAGAAGCATTGTTGGGCTTATGGGTAAAATATCTGTATACTTTAAATGAGTGAATGAGTACACGGTCCACTAAACATCTTATCGCGAATTCTGTCACCAATTTTGATACAAGAGTTCGAAGTCTTAATTATACTGTCTTAACGACTGTATTTCCGTTTAAGCCGGTACGCATGAACTCTTAGCGGCAGTAATAGGCAGGATCGGCAGGCGGGGTACCTACCCGTGCGGGCTTACAACACGTCGCTTGAGCCGCAACGAGTGGCTGGTTACGAATTATCACAGTATTATACAATGATAGAATTCACTTTCTGATGTATTGTAAATGGGCTCCGATAAACATGAACTTACTTCTTTATCGTTCTAGCTCTCATATTCTTTGGTTGCACTGCCCACAGTAATACCATACACGGCAAAGGAAACACTGTTATTATAAAATCTAGTAAGGGCGAGAAATGATCGCTTTGAATTCGAGATGTGGTTATTGTGGTTTTTATTTAGTTCGACTGTTTTTTTTAAAAACAGGATTACTGCTATAATTACAGAACGTTCGGTAAAGTGTACTTACTATATCTAACAAAATGTTTACATATTAGTAAAATTGTTTTGTAAATTTTGTCTTTGTGTAAAGTGCCCGAGAATAATTGTTTCTATTGCTTTAGAAAGCAGACGACCATGTAGTCAACAATATGATTAGTGGTTACCCTCGCTTACGGAGAGCATAAGTGCAAGCCGCCATTAATGCCAGAGGACTCATTTGAAACTTTACTTGAAGAGCGTTGATAAAATCACGCACCAGATAAATGAGTGATTTTCTTGAGTTTTTAACGGGGTTCATATAGGAAAATGAATTTAACACCCGCCTGGTGTTATTTGGCACCGATGTCTTTAAATATATGTTTTTTTTTTTTTTTATTGCTTAGATGAGTGGACGAGCTCACAGCCCACCTGGTGTTAAGTGACATCTACAACGTAAATGCGCCACCCATCTTGAGATATAAGTTCTAAGGTCTCAATTATAGTTACAACGGCTGCCCCACCCTTCAAACCGAAACGCATTACTGCTTCACGGCAGAAATAGGCAGGGTGGTGGTACCTACCCGTGCGGACTCGCAAGAGGTCCTACCACCAGTAAAGTATGTATACTCTCTGCACCGTAAATATCGTCGTCACAATACTGTGGTGATATCTTAAGCAAAAAATCTTTATTTTGGTAGCGAGCTGTAAGTTCTCGACATTTTGGCAAGAATCCAAGCCTATGGAAACTCGTGCCAGGTAAAAAGCTAGTTTTCATAGCACTTTGAAATCAATTTGGAAGTTTTAAATGCAGAACTGATTTTAATATCGTACAATGAAAGTGTGTTTATTGTTTTACTGTGTAACTTGGTACGTATTTCGAAATGTTTAGTTAACATAAAAAAAATACTGTTTTTTTCGATAAATAAAAGTTGATAAGCTATATGGCCTTCATAAATTATTAATAAAGGAAAACAATAAGAATAAAAATTTGTTTGTATTGCATTCGAATGAGCAGACAAGTTCAATGCTCACAATATGAATGTGCTTCTTTAAATGAGTTTCCAATCGAGTGATGAGCGACTACTCACCATTAATTGGGCTGTTTGTCCATCTGCATTCAAAAGTAATTGTTCAACTTGTGAATATAATAGAGAAAAGTTTACTAAAATTTAAAATATGATAATAAGCTAGTATTATAGGATATTTTGTAAAAGATAAAATTTAAAAAGCAACCACGCTGTAGACTAACGTTGGACGCATCGAGTATCCCTCGAGGATTCGACCTAAAGAAAGGAAATTGCCAGCCATCCGAGATTTTCTATATTTTAAACTTGAAATTTAAACTATTGCATAGCCTTTATCGCGGGCTTTGAGCGCGGCGACCGAATCAAGAAATGCCATAACGAAAATAAAACCTAACACCCCCCACTCCGCCTACCATGTACCTCGCGTTCAACACATTCATACGTTGCGCTTGTGTAATGTTTGTGGACAAGCGCGCGGGAATGCGTGCGCATCATGAAAAGTCTGCCTATCTCTCTCTCGCGCGGTCTAACTTATGAGCGGGAATGGGACAGTTAATGTTTTGCTTTTGTTAATATTTATAAATATAGCGTGGTCTTATATAGTAATAGTTTTAGTATTAAATTATGATTGTCTAATTATAATTGCATAAGTTGATAAAAAATGCTATTCAATAGCTTTACCGCGGCAGTCCCCGAGTGCCACACGTGATTTTTTTTTCTCAAAATATGTACCTATTCGGTTTTTTTAATTTTGTAGTTAAAATTAGTGACTATATTCATAAAACGAGTATTATTTTTCGACTAAAATTTGTCTTTCAATCTGTCAGTATACCGAATTCAACGAATGAAGAATTAATACACATTTGACTGACCTATTAGAATTTAGAATCAAGTTAAACTTCGCATCTTAAGAGGGACATTTATGGAAATTAAATAACCTATCTTGGAAAACTAAATTGACTTAATTGTGCAAGTCTTGCTCGAAAGCTGAATTTTAGTTGTTCACATCTAAAAACCTTAGATATTTTATTAATTCGTAGACGAGAGGTCTTAACGCGTTCTAAAGATTTTATTAGTTTTTTTCCTATGATTCTAAATTGAGTACGTACACTTTTTACATCACCCAACTTGGAAAAAAAATGTTGGGCGAGATAGGTTTTGAACGGCCTCCCCCCGGTGAAGGTCAAGGGGCGACCTGAGGGGGTGAGGCCGCGCGGCGCGCCACTAGCACTCTAGCGCGCTGCCGTGGAGTGAATAGAGCGACCGGTCGACGGTGTATCGCGTCCCGACCCGGCAGGCTGGTTCTGGTCCAGCGGGGTATTCCGGGACACCAGCGGCACCGTCTGGGCGGCCCGACGGGCTGCCGTACCGAGACGGCCGACGTTTCAGAGCCTTCGATTCGCCTCGAAGGCTCCGTCGGCTGGGCGTCCTTGGGGTGAGCCGCGCCGTCTGGTTGTAGTGTTGACCGCGGTAGCCCCCCTACCTCATCCGGGTTCTGACCTCGGAGGGGATCGGACGTCGGGTGTAAGAGTGCAGGGGAGTCGTTTAGTGGGTGGGCTCTAAAATCCTTGGGCCCGCGGTCTGCTCACAACACCATGCAGATCGTTGAGTCTCACATACCCCGCGCGCCCCTTTTGCGCGGGGACCTCGTAGGAGGTTCGGCCATCTACACGAAAAAAAAAAAAAAGATAGGTTTTGAAAATGAGGTTTCATGTGAGTCTTCAGAGAAATTAAGAGTTAGCGAGAGAGCTAGTTATAAAAGGTATAACTGAGCCCACACTAATCAACAGATTAGTGTGGGCTCAGGGGTAGTGGGTATTTTTTACTTCAGAATTATTTAATTAATAAATTTTGAATTAAAAATACTTTAGCACCTTGAATTCAACTTCAACTAAAATCACAAATTAAATAACTTTCATCAATATAAGTTATACTTTGATTCCAGTTCCTGATAAAAAACATCACTTTTAATATTTACTATGATTTTTAATCCGTTCGACCTACCTACCATCCGACCTACCTACCATATTTTTAGGTATTTATTTCCGTATCGCCTAAAAATGCTTACATCTTCAAATTGCATATAAAATACCTTTATTTCATAACCGCGATTCATTTAACTGTAAAATCGAACTGCGATACATCTCCACGATTCTGGTTCAACGGCTTAGCGTTTTCAAATACTCGTGCCCACAGGTTTCCACCAGATGGAATCCTTCAAAGGGGAACATCCACGACCGTGAAATTCAATTAGATTACGGATAGAGACGCTTAACTCGAAGGCTTGCCAATTCTGAAACGCAACGTTTTCTTAAAGGTTAAAGCTCATTTACTCTGAAAAATATTTCTAAGAATCTCTTATTTAAATATTCTACTTTCCGAACCTGCAAACTTTTGTAAAAGTAAACGAGAATAATTTTATAATTTATTTGTATAAAACAATGTGGACACGATAATATTTGAAATGAATATACATATACAATAGCCAATTAGTGATATAGTTACAAAAAGTCATAAATAGATGTTATGCTGTCATAGTTACAAAGATCACTGTCACAGTATTTCCACCAGTAATTGTACAGTGGAGACTTAGCACAACCTCTCCAAATATAGCCTTGACTTCTAATTGATTTCACAACACATATTTCGTCTTCGCCGCATATTTCTCTGGGTAATAAACCTCTGAAATATTGTAAATATTATAAGAGTTCGTAAATGTTCTGTGTATCTGTATTCAATTTTCCTCAATAAATTATCTATTAGAATAAAACATTTTAAGTACTTCGTTGCCGCAGTCAATGTCTACTGCCTTTTGGCCTACGCCATTCTGATAGTTTCATTCATATATTGTTAGACTTAAATATGCCTAATTGTGAATATAACCGATTAATTAATTTCTATTTTTTAAACGAAAAATAAGTGTAAAATACCTACACGTTACCTTCCAAGCAATTTGCGCTATCAAGCATATCTCCTCTTTCGGTGGTCACGTTAACTTCACATCTCAAGCAAGACATATCTTTAAAAACCGATTTTCTAAATCGTATCGTACGTGAGAGCTCAACAACATTATCGACCCAATCGCGCTTGCTGGAGAAAATATATGGCATTTCAGAAATGGATATGTAGTTACAAAGATTGCAGGAACAGACATAGGTGCTAATATTGTAATTCACATTGAAACATCCACGATCGATAATTCCAAATGGAGTGTGCATTGAATAACACAAATCGTCTTCACGTTCACATAAAATAGAAGGCACACTGAAACATAAAATTGTTCTTTAAAAACGGCAGTACGTTTATTATATTTCAAATAAACGATTAAAATTATAAATTAGCAAAAATTTTTGGAATGCGGCGTTTACTCTAGATTGTTTCAAGAAATGTTCAATTAAAAATATGTAATGAATGAATTGTAATCGGAATCTAAAATAGAGAGGCAAATATAAATAATTATGATGCAAAAAACCTGCTCTGTTATTCTAAACGGAACTATCATTACCTTTTTTAACCCGGTTAGACTTCAATAACTGGATTTTAATGAAATTACTTGCTTTTCGAAAGTAAGTAAGTATTTATTTACTCACAGTTTATTCTTGGGGTCACTACAATCTTTTGCCATTATATTATCACATGCGATACACGATCGACGTCGATGTGCAAATCTTTCTAATTGCGTTTCATACAACAAGTTACAATTTGTATTATTCTCAGCACGATTCGTTAGTTGCTCAGCTAGAGATGAAGTTTTGTGATACATTAAATCGCGTGATAAATGTATCTGATAATTTATTGTAGTAGCATCATTGAGTTTTCTTCTTTTTGTAACTTTATTATATGCTTTATCAACTTTACCAGCAATTTTAGTGTTATATTTTGTAGCTTCAGAAGATTTCACTACATTAATATTTTCAACTTTATCTTCATCATCATGATTTAGAGTTTGTGTTTGTACCTCCGAAAGTGTATCTAATTTTTCAAGTGATCTATTTATTATGGAAGTAGTTTCGTGTAAATCGTCAAAAATCCTTTTAACATTTTCCACTAAGAAAGCTACTAGATTACTGCTTTCGTTATCTTTATGAGATTTTACACCATCATAATGCTCTGATTCTTCAGCATGTATTCTAAACGACGGTAAATATTTATTGTTACTCTGTGACTTCCCTGTATTTGTTCTGAATGCGAAAATAGTTAAAATAATGCTAATCCCACTTATTTTCATGCTAGTACTACATGATAAGATTTATTTATGTTTTTAAAACAAGTTGTTGCCAACAGCGATGTATGTATGACACGTAAGAATTTCTAAGCAATCTACAAGAAAGACAAACGTCATTTTGTAAAATATACTAAATAGTATTTATTCCGTATAGTTTTGTATTTTTCTACATTAAATTTATTAATAATAGTTATCACATTAAAATATTTCTAGAACAATGAAATAAATAAAAATTAGATTAGAAGTGCCTACGGAAGACGAAAATTGGCTTGATACCCTTGTCATTTGTAAAGTTTTCAGATAGGGATTATGTCTTTGGATATTATGAAATGGTATTCTATTACAATTTGATTCATCACAAAATTTATAAAACTTATTGTAGACGGGTTCACTTATACATCCTCTTGACACAAAATCTGTTTGCTCGTCGATGTTGATAAAACAGTATTGACCACGAGCACAAACCTTAGACTTCGTTCTAAAAATATTTACGTGTTTATTTAATTATCCGTTATAAATTCAAATCTACCAATAACACTGCGAGGAGACTGACCTTAGACCACTTTTACAGATATTATCTAAAAAGTTATTCACCCCTTTAGTTTCGCAAACCTTACACATAAGGCTTACCGACATCAGAGGCTTCTTAAGGCGCTCGTTATCATATTCCCAATCACTAAGTTTCGTATATTCGTAATAGGCGGGGTCGTACGAAGGCTTATCGTTACATAAAGGACATTTGCATACAAACGTTCTATTTAGCGATCCAGGTAATACACATCCCCTTTTTATGTATAAAGGGTGAAGTTCGATATAGCACTTTTCGGCATCCAAACATTTTTGTGTCGAAACCCTTAAAAAAATGTATTAAAGGAATAAAACACCAAATTATCAAGTAAAATCTAATTTTGGAAGAAATTCATCTAGTATAAAAAATAATTATTACGCTAAGACATTAAAATTGCGTTCAATTGGAGCAAAGTGGAATAATCGTTTCGGTAGTCACTATTTTCAGAGATAATTTTATTATCTATACTAATATATAAATCTGCAGTGGTTTTTACGGATGTTCCGTTACAACTACTGAACCATGCATCCGATTGATTTGAAACTTGGTCTCCATGTAGAAAATACATATACTTAATGGATAGGCTAATATTTATATGAGTGTTGGGCTCCCTACACTAGTTGCGGAGGCGTTAATGATGAGAATCTTTGTGGGGGTGAGAAACAATAATGTTAATTTTAAATGCCCAGCGAAGCGGACGGGTACAGCTAGTTAGCTTATAAATAGCGTATATTATTTAATATACATCTAGTGACCAGTGACTAAAGTTGAGTACACAACTGCAGATTCAACATTGTGTGTACCAAATTTATTTCTTCAGAAAAAAAAAATCATTATTTGTTTGAGACACTGATTGTTAGCTTGGTGGTATCAAAACAAACAATGAAAACAAGACTAGGGCTTTGTATTAAGAAAAAGTTAATTAACATATTTACTTACCCTGATCCCTTATAACAATTCTCATCTGTAGCGGAAATCCCGTCCGCATAGCACGACAAACATTCCAAGCCTTCGTTACTCGTATTCGCCGCATCCCTTGATTTTCTTTGCAGAGCCTCCTGGGATCCATCTAGGGATTTTTCTTTTTTCCCTTTATGTAATTTAAAATTCTCATCAAAAGCTTTGTTGAGTTCATCATCGGTAAACTTTTTGTTGTATTCTCTTATGTTTCTTGTTGTATATTTTGTTTCAGAATACTCACAACTTTGCCTGTTTTGTGTTGATATATTAGAGTTTATTGTAAAGCTTTGAATATGAATGAATAAAATGACAAAAAACATTATTCCAAACAAAGTAACAACTGGTACATGTCATTTTGTAACGAGTCAAAGAGAATTTAATCGAGATGTTTTCAGCAGAGACTTTAAAATTTTATATAACTACCTCATTTTAAATCTCTTTGGTAAGCTGTTATGTTTGAAATTGGTTCTGACTGGTTCTGAAAAACAGAAAAACATTAAAAACAGGTATTGAATTAAATAAATTATTGGTACGTATGTTAAATCCTTATATGTTTTGTGATAATAGTAGGTAGAAGAGGTAGTTTGGAAATAAAACCTTATTAGAAATTATAAAAACTTTTGGGTCCTAACTTGAAATGAAAAACTCTGCGATGGACTTAAAAAAAAATCAAGCCTAATACATTTTAAGAAAACAAATAAAACTCTAGTAAATGGATACCCTTCTTTAACATAAAGTAATCTAAAATTACACCAAGAAAATTACACGTTGTAGGTTCGGTACAATAAAACAATAAACAGTAGGAAGACTATTAAGGAAATTACTAAATTCTCTTTGCCACGGCGTTGAGCGTTAACACTTGAATTTCGTGTGCGCTTTGAAATAACTGAAATTAAGAAATTAATCTTGGAAAGTCGCTCGTGCGCTGAACGTAATAGTTCCATAAAGTTATGAAGTGAAATAAGATTAGTAAAATTCAAATATGCTTAAACCAAAACTACATTAATATCTATATATTAATACGTCAAGCAAAAACTTTGTATTCCTTTTTACGAAATTTGCGCGGACGGAGGAGTATGAAATTTTCCACACTTATAGGGAATATAGAGAAGAAGTGCACAAAGCTAATTTTTTTTTTAAATAATGCATAAAAGATACATTATATCAATAAAGCAAACATTACAAACACTACGTACCATGTATTTGACGCACACACGCGTGCATACTATTTATTGTCAAACTTTTGTTCTTGACGTCTGTTGTCAAATTGAGAATAGATTAAATATTGTTTATCTTTGTTAATATTTTTTATAGTGTAGTCTTGGCGAAATTTGTTATTATAGAAGTATGAAATACAATAATAATAGTGTACAAACCCACAATTCCAATTAATTATAGTCGAATTTCGACTACTGCGGAACCTCTAGTTTTTTTAAATTCACATAACATAATACGGGCAAACATAGATTCACCATCCATCATATAAACACGTCACTTTGGATCCTCCCGGTTCATTATCGCTATCTAGTATCGGTTTTAGACATTCAAAGCACCGCTCGCCGTTCTCGTCAAACCCGTCAATTGCGACGAAGGGCTCGTCGTAAAAATTTACTCACAGAACCAGCACATTGAATTTCACGTCAGTAGGTCGCAATTCCGATTCGGTGGTAGGTAGCGAAGCACTGCTCTTGATAGGGTTAGTGTTAGCAAAGTCGCCAGACTGAGCCCCGTGACCTCGTCTACACGTTGGTGAAGCTTGAATAACCCATTGAGGTTACTAAAATATCACCCAGACTCATACCATGAGTTTTGTTTGACAGTGAAAATAAAGGTAACTCTAATTAATTCTTATCAACACTTATAACACTAATTATAAACTTTCCTTTTAAGAATAATTCAATTTCCTTTTATATTTTCTTATAATCGTAGTAATCAAACATGAAAAAACATTATATATTAATTTGCATGATTGCTAATAATTAATATTGTAACGGGTGCAGGAGCTCACGGTCCTGGCGTAGAGTGGTTACTGTAGTCCATAGAGATAATAACACGAGACGACCTTAAGACTTGAGGTCTTTTTTTTTCAAAGGAGAAAATCGCCACATACGAGAGTTGAACCTCACTAAAAACTAAAACCGCTCACATTTGGCGCCCTACCCCGGACCGGGCCGGAGCCCAGTCGGAGCTATTGAGACGGCGGGACAGGGTGTACGCAGAGCATATTATATCCATCCCGCCGAAGATTTGAGGTCTATACCACATTTGTATAATTCATAGATCTTTCAGCCCCCACGCAGCTTAGCGACTGGTACATGTAAATATTTCGGTAAAATATTATTAACTCACAAATTGTTATATTGTGGCTTTCAATTCTATAAAATTATGTTTTACAGGTATTGATTGAAAGCGATAGGTTGTGATGAATGGGCTGTAATCTTGACTTGCACTCTGTAAGCCTGCACCAAGGATACTTGATAACACCTCCACGGGATATTGAAGTGTCGAAGATTAATGCCTACAGAATGCCGAGAAGGTGTTTTACGATCGAATAAATTGTAAACATTAAGGGATATCGTGGAATTTTCTTAGTAACACTAGGTAATTACATATTTTCAACAAAAAAATTTCAGTTATGCTATCATCACTGCAAGAGTATAGGATATCTTATTTACCCTTCAACATGGGTAATTTTAAATTGGATAAAGAACGTTGAATTAAATCAAGTAGTGTGACAATCTAAATATAGGAAGGAGGCTGTTTTTATTTTACTGTCATAGGTAGCTTACAAACAACTAGATACCACACACCAAAAGTAAACTTGTCATCATATGATTTAAAGATAAGAGTGCAAGATTACATACCTGTGTAAGAATTGAAATATGATGGTTTCGCCTATTTGACATCACCTCTTAAGGAATTACCGAATTTGCAAATCAGCTCTAGAATCACAGAAAAATAGCCAATAAATTATTTTAGTAAACAATCCTTTTTTTTCTTTTTTCAAAAAGAAAAATCATTCTCATTTCATTTGAAATTCATTATTTATTCGTCAACGTTGCATACAGCGCAGCGCTTGCATATTCTATAACTCAATGCAATAATGTTTCATACAAATCTCCTAAACGAGCGATAGGTGCAAGCTGTGGAATGAATGATGTTTCATGTAATTTGTGCGAGCTTCGCCTACAGCCATTGCGCTTAGTGATGTCCTTTGAAAATTTTGATTGTCGATGATTTATGGCGAGTCGATAAAATTGGAGAGAACCAAACTGGATTCACACGTTTTGATTTGTTACTGTAATGCTTTAATTGCTATTCTACATTTCTGAACACTTTTTGGGGTACGCCCTGGGAGCATACTGTGTACACAGTATTTCTAATGAAATACGTATTTAGCAGATAGATTACAGATGTTCACGATTGTCTTCCACGATAAAAGAATAACATGGTGTAATAAAAATCAAACCCGCAA